CGAGCCCAACCAGCAGCCGCACAGCGGCGCATGATATATAGGCAGAATAGTATTACCGACAAAGACAAGGGAGACTGGAATGGCCATTTCTGGCTTATTAGCCGTCGTCAGCCAGCCATACCCAAGCCCGAAGTGTGGAACACCCGAGCCTCGAACTCGCGACCTGTTGGTTTAGAAGTCAACGCCTCTACTCACCGGGCCACGAGCCCGTTGCCTTGTCGGTTTTCGATCGGGAATATACAATGTTAGGGGGCGCTCACCGATCGTTCATACGGAACTCACTCGTTCCGTTGTGCCTTATGGACTCTCTCTCGAGCCCAACCAGCAGCCGCACAGCGGCGCATGATATATAGGCAGAATAGTATTACCGACAAAGACAAGGGAGACTGGAATGGCCATTTCTGGCTTATTAGCCGTCGTCAGCCAGCCATACCCAAGCCCGAAGTGTGGAACGGAACGAGTGAGTTCCGTATGAACGATCGGTGGGCGCCCCCTAACATTGTATATTCCCGATCGGAAACCGACAAGGCAACGGGCTCGTGGCCCGGTGAGTAGAGGCGTTGACTTCTAAACCAACAGGTCGCGAGTTCGAGGCTCGGGTGTTCCACACTTCGGGCTTGGGTATGGCTGGCTGACGACGGCTAATAAGCCAGAAATGGCCATTCCAGTCTCCCTTGTCTTTGTCGGTAATACTATTCTGCCTATATATCATGCGCCGCTGTGCGGCTGCTGGTTGGGCTCGAGAGAGAGTCCATAAGGCACAACGGAACGAGTGAGTTCCGTATGAACGATCGGTGAGCGCCCCCTAACATTATATATATATATATATATATATATATATACCAGAAACCGCTAGAGAACTCTGGGGGTCCCACTGAAGAGCCGAACCCCTCGCAGCTGTGTCACGCAGCGGCAGAATATCGGCGAAACACGTGTCTGGGCTTTTAGCAAGTATCTATGTCGGGAGTACGGTATAATACCTTTCCCATATGTAATTCATACTACTTGTAGTACTACTTGTTTGTAGAATGGTCATTACGTGGTTATTCCACAGTAGTTGATTGTCTTCGACTCAAATGTTCATTGAAATTTCGGTTGTGACCCTAAAATGTGATGTCCCGGATATTTAACTCCAAGTCCTGCACTGATTAATTTCTGAAATTATTCACTTGATTATTCCCTGGAGTTCATATACCAGAAACCGCTAGAGAACGCTGACGGCTAATAAGCCAGAAATGGCCATTCCATTCTCCCTTGTCTTTGTCGGCAATAGCATTCTGCCTATATATATATATTTCAATGAACATTTGAGTCGAAGACAATCAACGACTGTGGAATAACCACGTAATGCACATTCTACAAACAAGTAGTATTACGAGTAGTATGAATTCCATATAGTAAAGGTATTATACCGTACTCCCAACCTAGATATTTGCTAAAAGCCCAGACACGTGTTTCGCCGATATTCTTCCGCTGAGTGACACAGCTGCTAGGGGTTCGGGTCTTCAGTGGGACGCCCAGCGTTCTCTAGCGGTTTCTGGTATATGAACTCCAGAGAATAATCAGGTGAATAATTTCAGAAATTAATCATTGCAGGACTTGTGTTAGTCGCCTTACGGTAGACGGTCGTCTTTATATTCCCGTCTGCCAGTTTTGTAACTTGTACGTCTAGGAAGGGCAAGCGATTGTCGGCCTCTTCTTCTTTTTTTTTTTTTAACTTAAAACAAACTCTCAATTCGCGCTCTTTTGGCTAACCAGACACCCGAAGCAAATGAAGTCAAAGTGCAGTTGAAATTGACGAGTTTGTTTTAGGTTTTTTTCCTGAGTTCAAAGGGGACTGACAGTGCCCAAGGGGCGCTACAATAAACCTATTCTATTCTATTCTATCCATGGTGAACTGTATGTCGGGAAATATCGAATTCAAGAGTGCCTTGAAATCTTGCACGTCGTTCCTCTTTATTATTCCGAATGTGTCGTCGACATATCTGGCCCAGAACTTCGGAGGGTACGAGCTGAATACCAGACGCTCCAGCCTCTGCAAAACCGCTTCGGCAATTAGTCCAGACAGAGGTGGACCCATTGGCGTTCCCTTTTTTTGCTCGTACACTTGGCCGTTAAATGAGAAGAAAGTCTTAAGACACAGTTCTAGCAGCTCGATAATGTGCACTCGTTTAAGCTGTTGGTCGGTCTCGTCGTATTTTTCTCGGAGAAGTCTGTCGAGAGTGTCGATGGCTAGGTCGAGCGGGATAGAAGTGAACAGTGAGACCACGTCAAAGGACACCATCACCTCGTCTGTCTCCACTCTACGATGTCGGATGCGAGCCAAAAACTCCTCAGCTGACTTCACTGTCCACTCTGAGTCTTTGACGAGGAAACAAAGTCGTTGGTACAGCCACTTTGATAGGCCAAAAGTTGGTGTGCCACGTAAAGAAACGATTGGGCGGAGGGGCACTCCTGGCTTGTGTACCTTTGGAAGGCCGTAGAAGCGTGCCATCGCGGTGTCAGTGGCTTTCGCGGACAGTGCCTCTCTTCTCGTGAGGGCGCTCGCGTTCCTTAACCTACTCACCGTCTTGTTTATGTTGTTTACAGGCCTTTTGAACTCGCTCACATCCGAAAGCGCGTAAGATTCTTTGTCCATCAGCAGGATCTCCAGTTTACTCAAGTATTCGGTCTTATCCATGACGACTGTCGAGCGTCCCTTGTCAGCAGGCAGAGTGACAATATTCTTTATTTTTCGTATACCGGAAAGTTCTCGATCTTCTGCTTCGGAAATCTTCATTTGGGATTTGTGCTGGAAAAGTAAGGACGACACCTGTTGCCTCATGGCAAACACGCCATATATATATATATATATAATTATCGGAATTTTATTACTCCTGAAAGTAATATGCTGTAGGCTTTTGTACACTTTTGATTCGTTTCACTACATTTTCTTGTACACCTGACCTGCCTGTACATTTGTTTGACTAAACGAAAGCCCACAATAACAACGCTACGGCGGTCAACGTGTGTTCTGGTTTCGAGTGTGTTTGACGTCGTTATTTCTTGGCGTGCGCTTGTCACCTCTCAATACTCTTAGCAATTCGTACGAGCTGACGGAGACTTCCTCCTCAAAGCAGACTTCAACGTATCATCGCGGAACATAGAGCCTCCCTTCAACCAGTTCCTCATCGGAACATTATCTCTCAACTTGATAGGATTCTACTTTACGTGAGTCTGGAACATTCCTTTTCTGGGTCTTTCAATCTGTACATTCTTTTTTTTTGTTGGTAAACACAATTCCCCCATTTGGAGTTAGTTTTTCCTGTATATATTACTGTTTGTAGTTTCTAAGTCCACATTTCCTCTACAGAATTGGTGACCCCGCCTTTTCCTGCATCTCGAACCTTTTTTATTTACCATGGCCAGTGACGACTCCTAAAAAGACTCACTCGACATTAACACCCTTTCTTTTAAACTGCCACCGTTTACCCCGAGCAATCCTCGCGTTTGGTTGAGGCAGATCGAGGCTCTTTTTTGACAAGTCGCATTACTAGCGAGCGTACCCGCTATTCGTACGTTTTGCAGTCCCTCCCATTTGATGTAGCTGTCACCGTCGAAATCCTCCTTGACCCCATTCCAGCCGACAAACCGTATACGCTGCTGAAGGAAGCGGTAATCGAACGGGTAGCTAAATCGGCCAACCTTATGCTGCGGGAACTTTTCACGCAAGTAGAGCTAGGTGATCAGACACCTTCCCAGCTCATGCGTCACATGCGCTCACTTCTCGCTGGTAGGCACATGGACGACGCCATTTTTCGCGAGATTTGGTTAGAAAAGTTACCGGTGCCTATGCAACAGGCTTTGGCTATGTTGGACTCGAATACACCTTTAGAGAAACTAGCTACCCACGCTGACAGAACCAAAGAGTGTTACCCCATTGGTGCCTCGTGTTCCACTATTCAACAGCCACCGCCTTCCAAAGGCAAGCCCCATCAGGGCATTGACTCTGATTCAGAAGGCCCACCAGTATCAGAGCACGATACTCCCTATACGGAAAAAGCGTCATGCTGTTGCACAACCCGACGAGCGCCCACATCAGCCGGTCCCCCCAGAACACCCACCGACGCTTATCGCACCGATTACGACGACCTGAGAGACACTGTGCGCCTCCTTTGCACTCAGGTGAGCAACATGTGCTCTGCTCTTAACAGTCTTCAAGCGGCTAGAAACAGCCATACTCACATCGTCGGTCAAAATTCCGTGAGCGGCGTCCACAACCCTTATGTTGGTATCATCGCACTTATGGCCCGAAAGCCCGAAAGTGCATACCTCCTTCTTCGTTCGCTTGTCCTTCACATTTAAACGATCACGCCAGCCAGTAATGGCGACGACTGCTGCTGGGCCGTCGCGACCCAGTCGCCATTTCCATATCAACGACAAGTCGAGCGGCCTTCGTTTCCTGGTCGATACCGGTGCCGAGGTCAGTGTCATCCCGCCTCTAAGGCGTCACCGCCTCAAGCCATCGCAATTCTCAGTGCAGGCTGCAAATAGCACCACAATCAGCACCTACGGCCAACGGTCCCTCACTTTAGATCTTGGTTTCCGGCGACGTTTTCAATGGGTCTTTATTGAGGCTGACGTCAAATAGCCCATTATCAGGGTCGACTTTTTGTCATCTTTCGGCTTAACAGTCGATGTCAGACACCGTCGCCTCACAGACACCACCACCCAACTCTTTACTATTGGTACCATTAGCTCTGAACGGTCGGGTGGCATTCATCTCACCATCCTCAGCACCCCTTTCGCTGACATTTTGAAGGACTACCCGTCCATCACTAAACCATGTCATTTTACCGAAACCGTTCAACACGGAGTGAAACACCACATTGTCACGGCAGGGCAACCAGTGCACGCTCGTCCGCGTAGACTTCACCCTGACAAGCTCCGAATAGCAAAGAACATCTGATGAATCTGGGCATTATAAATAAATAAATAAATTTTATAAATAAGGTCAAGGTCAAGGCGCGCAGCTCAATTTCAAAGATAAGTGAAGCTCTGTATTTATCTGGATATTCTTAATTAATTAATGCCTGTTTTTTACTTGAGTCCGTTTTAAAAGTCGCCTTTCTATATAAGGTAAAAATTTTTCCCAGTTTGTTTGACAGTCTGGCAAAATAGTCGTATTTTGTAAAAAAATCCATTGTAGTGAATCCTTTCGCTACTACCGCTTTCTAGTTTTCGTAGTAAAAAAAACAGTAATACTCGCAACTCAGTGCGCGTTTCCGTTTTGATCCTTCTTCTGTAACGAAAAACTTTTTTTGTCTGTAATGCCCCGCAGAGCACGTGCTAAAAGGCGAAAGCTTGCGGCCTCCCCACCGTCTCTGGGTGCTAAAATCGTGACTGAAGACA